CCAGTGTGCAACAGTACATGACGGACAAGGGAACGCTTGGTAGTGAACAACTTTTGGCAAAACTCACACTCAAACACTTCTGTTTTATCCATTCTTATTTTCTTAAAATCCAAAATAAGCTCAACCAGGCACAAAATGAATCATATTTTTGATGTGCCAAATGTACGGCAAACTCCTCATTGCGTTCAGCAGCTTCCTTGCTTAGAAACACGTGCAGGCACACATGGGGACAAACAGTGTAAACAGAGAATCCACATGTCTGCCTAGAGTCCAAGTTCACCTGAGTCAAATCAGTGGCCTGTGAAAAATAGCCGCTTGTCTACTCGGGGTCTAAATCAAAATACTAAAATATTTTGCCTTTTCTCTAAATCTAAATACAAAAACTTTTCTATTTCTGCAACAACGTTTCAGGAAATAATGTGTCTTTAAGGCAAGACTCCGTCGAACTTTTTAATTTTACATGTCTCTAATAGTTTCCATATGAAACATTCATTTTACTCTTAGGAGAACCGCAAAATTGGCAAAAAAATCAACCGAGAATTGAGTACATTTTTAGATTCTTCTTGTCAAACCCTTTCGAACAGTACCCAACATGTAACATCAAAGCTCTGCGCGAAAGCAACAAAAATGGCGTCGAATGGTGTCAAAAATTTTGATTTGGGGGCGCACTGGTTTAGTCTGCAGGCGTCAAATTGCGTTCAACATAAAGGTTTGAGATTCGAAACCGCTCAATGTATTTTGTTTTCTTTTTTTCTTTTTTCTTTGATTGTCCGTTAGTTTGTGATTAAACTTATGTTTAAAAACGCACTCGGTTGAATTTTTTTGCCAATTTTGCGGTCCTTCTTTATACAAAAAGTGAAAACAAAATCGCCCCAAAATTTCAGCATACTCAAAAATTATTAAGTTTTATATCGCTGAAAAGCTAAAATTGCCCTGATTACAAAAATGTAAGTGTCTAAGTGGAGCCCAAAATGGTTTCTGAGAAAATCGGGTCCGAACTGTACCTTTGGCAATGCTTTACCTACTGCTGCTTATGCCATCTAGCGGAGGGAAGCCGTTGTGTTATTGCCAAACTGCATATTTTGGTCAACTTTAAATGACAAATTTAAACAAACTAAAATTTTATTAACAAATACACTCCTCTAGTATTTAATAAAAGTACTATTTTGAGAAAATATTCATTTTTAAATTAGATAAAAATTGATAATTAGATAAACACTTAGCGCCCCCTGGCGGAAAACCCAGACGTGCTGGGGCTAAACGGCTTAAACCATCTTATTCCTCTTGTCCTAAGCTTTCCAACGATACNGATAAAAATTGATAATCAGATAAACACTTAGCGCCCCCTGGCGGAAAACCCAGACGTGCTGGGGCTAAACGGCTTAAACTATCTTATTCCTCTTGTCCTAAGCTTTCCAACGATACTAAATTCGTGAGTGGGACCCAACTTTTTTGCAGAAACGCTTACCGTGTAACCCTGGGTGAGGGCCGCGCAGCCGAACACGAGGATTCAAACTCGCGCTCCTCAGGCATCAACGTCGATCGCCTAAACCGCTCGGCCACCGACTTGGTTTAATAAAACTTAATGAAATACTTTATACTGGCAATGAAAAACAAAATACATTTATAAAATTTACATGTTTGAAACTACAATTGTGTATTTTTGTTAAATTGTTTTATTAATTGTTTTGTTTTTTAAAAATTAAACTAGCAACCAATACCACCCCATATATTGCAATGTATTGCAAATTTTTAATTTCATTTTTTAATTTAATTTGAAAATTTTCTTGTTCTATTATTTTATTTTTAACATTTTCGTCAGAAAAACTTTCATCTATATCAATTTGAAAACTTACATTTCCAAATGTAGAATCAGCATTTTGATTAAAAATAACATTTTTTAGCGTTGCATTANGTGTTTGTGGTGTTTTTAATTAAATGATAGTTTTTGGTAATTAACTGTTTTTTTAATACAAATCTTTTATTTTTTGTTTTATTTATTATTTTTTCTTGTTTTATCAAATGAATTGCAAACAATTGAAAACTATTTTTTTCAATTGTTATCCCCATTCTATTTGTTTTAAGTTTAATTGTTTGTTCAGAAACATATTCATTTTTTTGTCAATTGTCAAACTCTGTAAATAATTTTTTCAAACTTTCGAATTCCTTAAACAATTGTAGCGATTTTTTATTATTAAATTTATTATCATTGATAACTGAATTAATATCGTTTTCGAGAGCATTGAAAACAACGTCGCGCAAAAATGGATTTTTTGTGCAATATATTGAGTAATCCCATGTTTTTAAATTGTCAATAACATCTAAAAGTGTATTTTGAGAAACTTCATAATGCCTTAAACTCCATAAATTATCTATTTTTTTGAAAGTTTTGAAGTTTTTGACTAAATTAAGTGATTTTTCATCCGGTGGTAATAAAGAAAAACATAAATTAGGAGCACTAAATTTTTGTCCACAATCTGTTTGGACTTGCCAGTTATACGGGTTAGAATTGTCTATCAGTGTGAACATTTTTCCTTTTTCTAGCATTATTTTTTGCCCGTCAATACTAAAGTTAGAAACTACTTTTTGACCAACAGTTATGCTATTGTTTTGCAAATTTAAAGGCAAAATATTTTTGCTTTTTTGTTTCAAATCGTTTATTTTTTCATTAAACAATTTTATTTCATTTTTTAATGTCATTATTTTACTATTTAACTGGTATCCATCTTCAAACGTAATGTTTTGAACATCAAAAATAATTTTCAATTTTTTTAATGATTCTTTTTGCCATTCTTGGCACTTAAAAATTTCTTTATAAAAATTGTGATACTCTGAAGCATTTTTTTGTGCACTGTTAAACTTTCAAATATTTTTTCAAGCATTAAATGCTCAAAATTTAAAACATTAAGAATGGTATTAATCCAATTAATTTTTGGATGACTTTTTAACATAATTTCTTCTGCAAAGTTAACAATAAAGTTATATTTTTTTTCGTGTGTTTTGATATCGTAATATAAATTGAGATGATAAAATTCAACAAAATTTAAATCAAAATTTTTTGATGACCAGTCTCTAGTTATTTCAGAAAATATAATATTTATTTTCCATTTACTTTCTTCTTCGACCATTTTTAGTAATTTTAAAATAATTTTTAAATTTTTTAATCGTTGATTTCCTGTTGTTATTAATTTTGTATGCAAATCATTTATAATATTAAAATTACTTAAATTTTTTTCGTAATAATCTGACGGGTTTATATTTATGTTTGTTTCATAAATTACAGTTTCTGCAACTATTGTAAATAACGCATCAATTTTGTTGTTTCTTTTTTGTTGTTTATCAATTTGTTTGGTTACTAGTAAAACGGTGTTATTTTTTCTTTTAGAATCATTAAAATTCAAAATTAAGATTTTTTTATATTTTTTATTGCACCATTTAATAAATTTAGAAAAATTAAAATGTTTACGAAAATCAAAAGGTTTATGAAAATCAAATTCAAAATAAATTTTTGTTTCTAACTCATTTGCTGGCAAAAATGCTTTTTGATTATTATTAATAATTTCCATAACGTGTTTTTATATTTCACACAAAATAACTTAAAATTGAAAAACAAAATATTATAAAAAAATTAAAAAAAATTTGTATAATTTCAACCAAAACTTCAATAACGCTGCAGCAAGGCAGATGCTGTTAATTAAACTCTATAAAAACGTGCAAAAAATTAATTGATTATTTCCATAGTTTTGTTAAAAATATTGTATTATTTTAAATATAAAGTTTTGTTTTTAATGATAACATACCAAGTAACACTTGTGGGCGCACTAGCAACCAAAACTTCAGTGTGAACTTTTTCTTTTACACTCTAATCATCTTCATTTTTTATCTTTTTCATTTTTGCCGTCTACTAAATTTTCTGATACTTTTATTTTAAAAACGCAGTTCACTGTTAAAGTTAAATAAAATTTAAAATTGCAGATATTTTGCTAGTTCATTTGATAATAAAAATTTTATTTGCAATTTTGAAAGATTTTTACTAGTTGTGTTTGATGTAATTTTTTAGTTTTTTTAAAACATGATGATTAAAAAAATCTAATTTGGTAAACAATTTGTAGCACAACAAAACACAGTATGTTGTTTAAAAACAAATGTTTAAAAAGCATTGCAAATACAAATTGCATCAAAATTATTGATAGTTGCTATGGTAAAAATAATCTTTAGTATCACTAGGGGAACTCCAGGTGTTCACCAGTAGTTGTTGGCTGGAGCGAGTATGGGTGCCCCATAAACCTACCACAAAGCCAACACCCACACCTACCCCAACCGTTCCCTTAACGCCTACACCTACGTAAAATGAGTGTTTTACATGGAAACTATTAGAGACATGTAAAATTAAAAAATTCGAAGCACTCTTGCCTTAATTCTCTCTCCCCTGACTAAAAACCTCTTCAAGCGAGCAATTCTCCAATCGGGAGCGATTGCCAGCAAAACACTCACAAACGCCGTCAATCAACCGCTGAAGAGGACTGAAGAGCTGGCCGCCAAGTTGAACTGCTCTTCTTCTGATCAGCTTTCAGTGGTGAAATGTCTTCGAGGCAAAAATGTAGAGGAGATTTTAGTCGCCTCAAAAACGTTGACTCTTCCTCTTGCCCCGACCTTCAATGATGGCGCAGTGCTGCCCTTTGCTGATGGAGTTCAGGCACTTCAAGAGGGTCACTTCAACACTGAGATAGATCTTATGTACGGCGTGAACCGAGATGAGGGCTCCATTGTGGTGGCAATGCTCTTTCCAGAGCTCAACTCGCAGAAAACGGTTCTAACAAAAGAGAAAGTGAGGGCGGACATTGAGAAGTTGCACGTAAGTTCACCGCACGCGGCTGAAATTGCTGATTTTTATTTGAAAAGCTTAAAGTCTGAAGATGAGGCAAATCAAGATAAGCTGAGGTAATAGCTATGATGAGAAAAAATGGATTTTTTAATTTTTTCTTAATAACAGAACCATCATCAGCGACGCCTTTGGAGATCTAAACATCGTTTGTCCAACTGTATTGATGGGCGAAGCAGTGCGGGAAGCTGCTTCAAAGCAAAAGAAGGAAACCAAAAGTCGTTACTACTCGTACCAACTGACGCAGCCACTTCTCTCTCCATTTCCATTTGGCGACTGCACAGGANATCGAGGACGTCGTGTACCTCTTTGCAGTAAACTCCTCTCAACCAGAGGACTATCGTCGCCTGGACCAATTTTGCTAAAACAGGGTCACCGGGAAAACTGGGACAGCAACAAGTGGAATGGACTGAAGCATTGTCGACGACGAGTCACTTTACAAATCACATGA